GGACGGCGACACGGCGGCGCCGGCGGCGGTGTACGCGTCGGTGAAGGCGTCGCCCGCTCGCAGCGCGTCGGCGAGCAGCGGCAAGGACGAGCTGCCGCGCTATCCGGAGCCGCCCAAGTACCACAGCCCGTCGTACTACCGGCAGCCGTACACCGCCAAAGAAGCGGGCGCCGGCGGAGGCGACGTGCGGCCGGGCAGCGCGGAGTACCGCTCCAGCCGCGAGCTGTTCAAGGACGGAGTCAGCCCCGCGCGCTACCGCCCGACGGCGAAGTACGCGAGGCCGCGCGACGTCGTTGCCGCGGCGACGGCGGCGTCTGCCGACGCGGCAGCGGCGGCGCGGGAGAACACGGCGTCGTCCGGCGACAGCATGACGCAGAGCTACCCGGGGCCGGCGGCCGACATGTTCAGCAGCTCTTTCTCGGCCGCCGCCGCCGCGAGCAAAGATGGCGCCGCTCAGCAAACAACGCCGACGACGACCGACGCGACCTTCGCGCCGCCCGCCGCGGCCGCGCCGGCGCCGGCCGCGGCTCGCGCAAGCTCTACGAGACGGGCGTGCGGCTCGAGAAGACGTACGCTCACCTGTTCACGGCGACGGTGTCGCTGACGACGGCGAGCGACGCGTGGTACGCGCGCGTCCGCGACGCCGTCGACGCGCAGCAGCAGCAGCCCGTCTGGATGTCGGACGCGAAGCTCGGCGGGGTCGGCGGACTCGACGACGAGTTCCTCTTCCCGATGACGACGCGGCTGAGCTACGCGTCGCGCGACGCAGAGAGCGACCTCGACGTCGGCTCCGACACGGAGGGGGTCGGCGGCGGCGGTGGCGGCGGCGGCGGCGGAGGCCTGCGACCGTCGAGTCTGTTCGGGGAGACGTTCCGCGCTTCGCGGCCGATCGCGCGCGCCTCGTCCGTCAGCGAGACGGACCAGGCGTACGACGGCGACCCCGACCGCCCGGTGCGTTACCACGGCGACCGCGCGCACGCCGACGCCTACTACGCGGGTTACTACGGCGACCGCGGCGGCGGCAATCGCATCGAGGCGTACGCGACGCTGACGCCGCGGCAGCGGCACATGCACGCCACCTACGCGCCGCCGCCGGCCGTGCCTGGCGTCTGCGCGAAGCCGCCGCGCCAGTTCGACGACGACTCTGACATGGCGGCGAACCGCTACCCGACCGAGACGGAGGACTTCAACGGGGGGTTGCCGCGGCAACGCTTCGAGCCGGCGGAGCGGGACGCGGGCGGCGCGGCCGATTTCGCGCGCTGCGTCCAGCAGTCGGTCAACGAGAAGTTCGGCACGCCGATGACCGGCGGCGGCGGCGCGTGCGAGAAACCTCCGCCGCCGCGTCCGACGCCCTCATCTCGCCTTAGCGCCGCGCGCGACCTTCGCACGACTCGTCCAGGTACCGGCGCCGCGCGGGCTAGTGTATCGACTCAAGGCAAGCGATCGCGCCGGCGCTCAACGAGATCTTCCGCGGCGTCTTCGGCACGCCGAGAAGCGCGCTGAGCGAGGTGCGCCGCGGGGCGCAGAGAAGCCGTCGGGCAGCAGCGCAAGTCGTCGGAGCGGGGAGTTGTCGTCGCGGGCCGGCCGAGCTGCTCGAGGGATCGGCGACGGGCGGCGGCGGTGTACAGGCCGTCGGTGAAGGCGTCGGCCGCGCTACGCGTAGGCGTCGGCGGAGCCGCTAAGGACGAGCTGCCCGCTATCGGAGCCGCCAAAGTACCCAGCCGCGTGCGTACTACGGCAGCCGTACACACCGGCCAAGAAGCGGCCTGCGCGGTGGAGGGGACGCGCGGCCGGGCAGCGCGGAGTACCGCATCCAGCCCGCTGAGCTGTTCAAGGACAGGAGTCAGCCCGGCGCATACCGGCTGCCGACGAGCGAAGTACGGCGAGGCGCGCGACGTCGTTGCGGCTCGGCGACCGGCGGCGTCTGCCGACGGCGGCAGCTGGCGGCGCGGGAGAACCACAGGCGTCGTGCGGCGACAGCATGACGGCAGAGCTAGCCGGGGGCCGGCGGGCCGACGATGTTTTCAGGCAAGCTCTTTGCTCGGCCGGCCGGCGAGCAAAGATGCGCAGCCGCTGCGTGGACAAACAAGCAGTGGCCGACGACTGGCAGGCACCGACGCGACCCCAGCTGCGGCGCCGCCCGCCGCGGCCGCGCCGGCGCCCCCTACCAGTCAGTCAAGTGCAATTCCGGCCGGCGACGGGAGTCGGGTCAAGTACGGGTCCCCGGCGGCGACAGGGAAGGACGGCACGTCAGCAGCAGCGCCCTCTCGCGACAAAGATCCGCTGCCGGCAAAACTCGCCAAGCCGCTGCGTGAGAGCCCCCTGGCGGGGGCGCTGTCGGCGACAGCGGCGGCGGCAGCGGCGACGGGGGAGCCTCGTCGCAGCGCGTTCGCTCCGTACACGAAGCCGACAACGACGAACGGACCGAAGGACGCGTCGTCATCATCATCATCGTCGTCGCGCCCCGCGCCGCCGCCGAAACCCCCGAAGCCCGTCGTCTCCTCCCTGCAGCCTCCTCCTCCCGCCGTTCCCCCTCTCCCTCCTGCCACCTCCTCCTCCTCCTCTGAGAAGCCGCTGCCACCGACGGAGCCGCCGATCGGCGAGAACCACCGCGTCGTCGCGACGGCGCGCGGCACGTTCGACCACACCGGCGGCGAGCTCGTCTCGGCGGAGACGGGCGTTAGCATCGTCGTGCCGCGCGGCGCGATCCCGGAGGGCGTGCGGCAAGAGATCTACTTCAAGGTGTGCCAGGACAGCAGCATCCTGCCGCCGCTCGACGCCGAGAAGGGCGAGACGCTGCTCAGCCCGCTCGTCATGTGTGGCCCGCACGGCCTCAAGTTCCAGCAGCCCGTCGAGCTGCGGCTGCCGCACTCGGCGTCCGTCAACCCGGAGAGCTGGAGCTTCGCGCTGAAGTCGAGCGAGACGCCGACGGGCCAGCCGACGGAGTGGCAGAACGTGCAGCTGGCGGGCGTCGACGGCGTGTCACAGCCGGGACGCGTCGGCGCCAACAGCGTGTCGGTGCTCGTCGATCACTTCTGAGACTTTTTCCTCGCGCTGTTGTCTTTTTCTCGCTCCCACTCTCACTCTTGTTTCTCATTCTCCCTCTCTCTCTCTCTCTCTCCGCATCTTACTCTCGTTCTCCTTCTCTATCTATCTCTATCTCTCTTGCACTAGTCCTCTAGCGTGGCAGTCTTTCTCTCTCGCCTTCTTCCTCACGCATACAGCTGCACTTTTTGCTGTTTCTCTCTTTCTATCTTTCCCTTTCTCGTCCTCACTCATCACACGCATCTCACGTGTTTGTCTCTCGCTCTCGCCGTTCGTCTCGTGGTCACCGCGAGATAGCCTGTCCGTGCTGGACATCTCCCGCATTCAGAGTGGACGTCGTGTGCACTTCGTTCGGATCGAAAACCGTGAACACTGGACCTAGAGGGCAAAGAATCGCCCATTTTTTCGTGAGGAATCGTCGCTGGCGTCTCTCGTGATCGGTGCGCGCGTTGCGAGGGAGAGTGGAGCGGACGGGAGGACGGAGCGACGCGAGTGCGCGCATCGCTAAACGCTAAATCGCTGAAGGAGGAAAAAAACGTAAGCGGATAACAATTACGCATGTAAATGAATCATGAGGGACCGATCGTTGGGGGGGGGACGTCTGATCAATTAGGCACGCGCCGCGGCGGCGAATGCGGGTTTAACTCCGAGGCAGCTTGATGTTGAATGGACGTAAATTATTTAGCGTGTTTAAGTGGAATCGCTTTCGTCGTCCGAGTCGTCGTAGTTTGCGACCACCGCGGATCTCAGCCGACTTGTGACAATCACGCGACAGCCTGGTACTGCTGCTGCTACTGCGCTGCTGCTGCTGCTGCTGTGTCATAATCATCGCTGCAAAAAAGGACAGCCATGTTGCGATATCACGTGAACAGCATAGCCTGCACTGCAGTCATGTTATGATCGTCACGCCTATAGACAGCGGCCACGCTGTGAACATTTGCTCGAAAGACTGCATTTATTTTGTAAAACCATCACGTGAGATTATTTCAATCAATGTTGCGACCATTGCCTGCGAGACTGAACGGTCATTTTATGACGGCAGTGTAAAACCGATACTACAGTCATGTTTGTGACCATTGCTTGAAAGACTGGACAGTCATGTTGTGCCCACCATTGCTTGAAAGGTTACAGTCATGTTGTGACCGTTGCTTCAGAAACTGTAATCAGGTTGTGACCTTACTTAAAAGACTGGACAGTCATGTTTGTGATCCCTGCTCGAGAGACTGGACAATCATGTTTGTGATCCTTTCTGAAGAGATTCGACAGTCATGTTGTGATCCTGCTTGAGAGACTTCAGTCATGTTGTGATCCCTGCTTGAGAGACTTCAGTCATGTTGTGATCCCTGCTTGAGAGAATTCAGTCATGTTGTGATCCCTGCTTGAGAGACTTCAGTCATGTTGTGATCCCTGCTTGGAAGCCTAGGCAGCAACCATCGCGTAAAGTCTAGACGTCAGTCTTGTTGACAGAGATACTGTTCGCTTATAACCACCAAAGTCAATATCTGCATTCATGCTCGCGTGCATCGAATGCATACACACTCTCTCGCGCTCTCTCTCTCTCTCTCTCTTCTTCTTTTTTTTTTTCTCTCTCTCTCTCTCTCGCTTCTCTCTTCTTTCTCTCTCACATACAAACACACACACACCACCACACACACACACACACTACACCACACAACAACACAAACGCAACGCAACACAACACACTACCCACACACACATTCACAGTGACACACAGACACACACACCACAGACACACACACGCGCGCAC